ATAGATAGATAGATAGATAGATAGATAGATAGATAGATAGATAGATAGATAGATAGATAAATAGATATAGAGATCGAGAGAGTGAGAGATGTTACAAAAAGTGGAGGGCCGAGCCGATGCAAGAAAGAGAGAGAAAGATACAAATAGAAATGGAGGAGAGATATAGAGAGAGATAGAGAGAGGGAGAGAGGGATATATATATATATATACACGCAGAGAGAGAGATGGAGAGAGAGAGAGCTAGATGGGTGGCAGATAGCACAGCACAGCAACCACTCGTCACGACACAAAAGTCGAAGTACTGGTGGCGTATCCACGGCGGTCACGTGCACCTGCCACGTCGGTGCTGACGACCGTACTAGTCCCCCGATAAGAGATATCTCGCTTTCCCAAGCTTTCAGGTCACGGGTAGTTAGCCATAGATTCATCTAACAATTAACGCCATTTGTTATCCCGGAGGGCATCTGTAGCTGCTGTGTTTTGACACGTACTGGTCTATTTTCCCCCTACTGACTATATTTTCCACGTACTGTACCCCTTTTATATAGATATCGGTGTGACAGTAAAAATTTCGTTTCCGTGTAACTTCTGGTGACAGGTAGTTAGCCTAGGTTCCTGTTATCCCAGAGGGCGTGTATATAGCTACTGTGTTTTGACACGCTCCCTTTTTTTTTATAGATCTAGGTATGGCGACTGCCAGCATTTCCTTCGCACCCTCAAAACTGCGGCAAACCTTGCTGCAGGGACGCCGACCTAGATAGAGCCACCGTCTCTCGTAGACGCAAAGCTGACGCGCGATTGGTTGCGCTCTACTTATTAATCATTTATTATGTTGGATTGCTGACTGGGCTCAGTCGCATAACTGACACACGACCGTTGACTTTTCGCTCTGTACGACAAACAGGAAGTATGTTTTCGTTCATATCAATGTGTCCGTGTATGTGTTTCAAACGGCTTATGTGTGGTTCAACAGATTAACATAGTTGCCTCTCACTTCCTTCAAAGGACGTTACTCTCCGAATTTAAAAAGGGCAGAGTGGTTGACTGTGCAGTCAACTCGCCCTCCCTCGCTGCAATTACTGATGAAATCGTTACGACATATGTATAGCTATGTAATATTTGAAAGCGTTAATAAATTCCAAAATCAAAAGAATTTAGCATAAAATCTCATCAATGTAAATTGCAATCAAACAGTATTACAACTAGGAATATTTATTTCACCCATTTAACGTAGTTGCATGTCACTTTATTCAAAGGACGTTAAAGTCCGTATTTAAAGCAAAAAATCGTATTAACATAAATCGCGATCATACTGCATGACAACCAGGAATATTGCTATATTTTTAACATTCAATTGACCCCCTGTTCTCCATGATATGCCACGTAACTATACGTCAAAATACAGCAAAATCTTCCCCAAAAAAATACAGACGGCAGCGCAATCACGACCCCCATCTTTATAGTAATATTGCATTTTTTATTATATTAGTAGTATTTTAATAGACATACCAGTCGCTTATTGACTTCCATGCGACCGGCATGGCTATATATGTATGTAAGACTGTATGTAAGAAAAGATTATGTGTAAAGTTGTGATGAAGAGTCACCATTCCACACCATATCTGCTATAGATGGAATCCTGTCATTATCCTGAGACTAAGCTACTCATCAGTACAACAGTACCAGGAGTTAATAATATATATAAATAATAATATATAGTTAATAATAGACCGGAAGCTCACGCTTCAACATTACTTCCGCATTATTTTTCTTGCGTGAAATTAAACAGTTGCAATGTCATTTTTACTGCGTTTCAAATGTTGCCAGCGTACACCATTTTCAATGTAGCATTTCAAAAATTTTGAAACCCCGGACCCCCCCACTAGTGTGAGAGGAAAACACCCTCACCTCACACACTCTCCCCCTTTACGGAGCTTCGCGCCTTATAGTGACTGGGCTTCAACATTAGTCAATCCCTGGCGACCGCCCTGGCATCTATATAATATAATCTAATACATCATAATATCTGATATAATCTTTACTATTATTCACACCCTTCCACCCTAACCCTATAACATGTCAAACACATTTACATCGAATTACGAAAAAAACGCAAATTTACATGTTACGCTTGCAAGTCCCGGGATTTCAGGTAAAATACGCAGTAGGCCCCCCTACAAACATCATCTTGGTCAGTGAGAAATGAGAAAAACATCCATGGTATATACATGATGTAGCAGCAGCACCTGCATAGTATGATAATGCTAAGAACTCGCCGATCTAGTCGAGCACGCGACGTGTGCCATGATTACAGTGATAAAAGATCATGGTGTATTACATGATGTAAAGGCAGCACACCATGCCACTAGCTATGATATGAGCAGGACTATATAACTCGCACGAGACGAGAGATCACGCTCACTCACCGTCGTTTCCTAGCGCTGCATAGCGGACGTCACTATAGTAGGCAACGGAAGGACTGAGGGATGACGTATAATAAGGATTGAATAGATCGATGTTACTGATTTCTGAAAGTTCGTCCGTAATCAGGTTATTCAGCTGAACTAACAATAGCTATACCCGCTGCCTAACAGTCTCTAATATCAGCATATTCAGCAATTCCGAGAGCAGGAAACCAGACGGCCCCTACGTTTTTAGTAACCGTGTTAATTGAAGTATCTGAGGATAGCTCGTTACCTTAACAGCAAATTTAGCTAAACTAAGCTTTAATCAATGTGAGTTAACGGTGTGTGTACCTTACCTTTATAGTGTAACTTTTTGCGTAATCCATCATCCGAGGACCCCCCATGGGCACCGTACACCGAAGGGGCACTCTGAGTTACTTATATA